CCAATTCAAGGCTGCGTGGATTCATTCATATGTGAGGAGGCCTTTAAATGGAAAAAGAGTAACAAAGATGGCGATTTCAAAGGTACAGTAGAAAAGTGGTAGTTAACATTCTAAATGATACAGGAATGCTAGAAAATAAGATCTAAAGATTGGATATAAATGAAGTGAAATCAGGCAAAATAACATGGAGCCAGCAGTAGGCAGATTGCTCATTAGATATAATACAAGGTTATTTGACTGGCAACATGGCTTTCTAATTAAAATATCTTATAATACATTGTGGGATCCACAGCCTACATACAATCCTTCAAAAGCGTTAGATGAACAGTACTATAAACATATGTTTTATATTGAAAACATAAACTAACATGTATATGACAAAGTATATACGTATATACGTCGTATAACACTAATGTAGGGTTGCATCAAGCCACTGACCAAGCTATTCACCTCTACAAGAGGAGATACAAATAGCGAAAGATGCCAGAGGAAGTCAACGTCAACATGACTGTGTTCAAAATAAGATACAAATTATCAGAGTTATGGCTTCACAATTATTCATCTGGAAGTCTATTTTGGTAAGATCATAACTTACAATATATAGAAAACCATTGTTTCCAATGAACAATTAGTTGCTAGCAAATCATACTTTGCGACAGTTCCAAACGGAGCCTCTTAATCTGCTAGCTACATTCTCACTCGCTTCTGAATAAGACTATACATTGTTTCCTTTGTAATTGTTATTTCATATACCATTCAATACAGGGCTTTTACTCAATTCCTAATCAAACAGAAATGTTTAGAACTATTATTGTATTAATAATGACTTATGCAATCTATTATTGATAAAACTCACATCAAAATCCATATTTGTAAGCACAGGAGGACATAAAAACAGTTCAATAAAAGTTGCTCTCAATAGTCTTTTTCAGAAAGATAAATGTTTTTTAGATATAGGTTTAATGAGTCTGACAGAACTGTTGGCATTATAATGAATGAATGAGTCTCTTGTCTGTCTTGAATACCACAGCATTTTTGCATGCTTTCACCATATTTCTTTATTCAAATACAATACCATTCATTTTGGTTTTAATACTAAACTTAGAAAAACAAAAAACATTTAATACATATTTTGTGAAATTTGAACAGTGAATTCCATGACTGATACATCTGTCACTATGACTAGAGTCAAGGGGTTAAATGGTTTTCTTGACCTTATGACCTTGACCTTACAAGGTTATCATTCCTGTTATGTTAACACAAGAAAATATAAGCGATCTTAGATTCAGACAATTCACTTGACCAGTCAACTTTTCTTTAATAAATAAATGGAATTCAGCATCATGTAGAGGCACTTTCATCTTAAAAAACTTTAGAAAACGCAGTTATACAAAAAGAGAGACAAAAAACAGAGGGATGTGTATAATAATCATAGCTTTTATTTGGGCTTCACTTCTTTTAAAGATGCACCATAGATTTCTCCCCAGACAATCAATGATGTCCTATTGTTATTGCTCATATAATATCTCACATACCATGGATATATTATTGCCGAAATATTGAAATAATCAATTTCTGCGAAAATAACTAGATCGGTCAGCACAATCGAAAAATTAACACTGAATGGGGGGATTTGGGACTTCTTAGTTGGTAAGTAGATAGGTGAATATGTGGTGAAACTCAATATGCAAAAAGGTCCAGTGGGGTCTTGATTGTGCTATCCAATGGTATAGAGCCTCTTTAAGCAGTTCTCTACTTATGTTTTACTATTAAATTCTGTTATAATATATATTCAGAGTCATTGAGTTCATCTTATTAACCCATATTTTGTCAAAAACAAAATTATTATAACATGTCTGATGTTTATCTATAATTGCTGGGTAAATTATTAAGCTGTCTAACCTTGAACATAAAACTATAGCGTATATGCAAAAAGTAATTATTCTCAGCATTATCTTTAACATACCACATAACTTACCCTCCTACAGCTACGATCTCTTGCAAACGAAAACTACATTCTTCAAAACCAAAATGAACAATAGTCTATGAAAAGTCAACCATGTAGAAACATAAATGTAGTAAAACTGATTTTCTAAAATCACAAAATATTGAACTGGAAGTCTTGTTTACTAGACGCTCGGTGATACTTATAAAGAGATACTAATATGAGATACTTAGATAGAGAGATACTTATATAGAAAATTAACAAATTGTTCCTAACTTGAACTTCATCTGCTAGTTCAAGACATCCTTGCAGCATAAAGCACTCCATACTATTCTTCGCATTCTATATTACAATGTTCAGTATAACTTAGTCACCTTAGATCTTGCCTGTTACCCCCCTCACCCACGCACCCACCCACTTTGTACTTCCTATTTAACCTAGTGGTGGGAGAACTTTAGTCAAGACACTTGAACATTAGACTTATAATCACAGATTTTTAATTTTGTAAAAAAAACTGAAAATATTTTTGAACTGGGTGAATTAATCACAAAATTATCATTGGAAACCACCATTACTGTTACTCTAACTGCAGTTAAGGACACAGATATAGTACACCTAATGACTCTCTTTACCTCAATAGATCATTGGAAGCCACCATTACTGTTACTGTAACTGCAGTTAAGGACACAGACATAATACACCAAATGACTGTCTATACTTATTGGAAGCCACCATTACTGTTACTGTAACTGCATTTAAGGACACAGGCATAGTACACCAAATGACTGTCTTTACCTCAATATATCATATTAGAAGCTACCATTACTGTTACTCTAACTGCAGTTAAGGACACAGACTAATTCACCAAATTGCTGTCTCTATACCTCAATAGATCATTGGAAACCACCATTACTGTTACTGTAACCGCAGTTCATGACACAGACATAGAACACCAAATTGCTGTCTCTATACCTCAATAGATCATTGCAAGCCACTATTACTGTTACAGTAACTGCAGTTAAGAACACAGACATAGTTCACCAAATTGCTGTCTCTATACCTCAATAGATCATTGGAAACCACCATCACTGTTACTGTAACTGCAGTTAAGGACACAGATATAGTATACCAAATGACTATCTGTATACCTCAATAGATCATTGGAAGCCACAATTACTGTTACTGTAAATGCAGTTAAGGACACAGACATAGAACACCAAATGACTGTCTCTATACCTCAATAGATCATTAGAAGCCACCATTACTGTTACTGTAACTGCAGTTAAGGACACAGACATAGAACACCAAATGACTGTCTCTATACCTCAATAGATCATTAGAAGCCACCATTACTGTTACTGTAACTGCAGTTAAGGACACAGACATAGTATACCAAATGACTGTATCTATACCTCAATAGATTATTGGAAGCCACCATTACTGTTACTGTAACTGCAGTTAAGGAAACAGACATAGTACACCAAATGGCTGCCTCTTATCCCGTACCAGGACTATAGTCCTGCAGTGAGAGCATTCTTTTGCCTGTACGATTACAACATGGGCGAATTTTCTACGCTTCTTACACTTAAGATACCTATTTCAATAGATTCCTTGGTATTTTATCATTCTTTTCTTGTTAGGTAGTAAGCTAGCACCCAAAAATGTATTAGTTCGTGAACAAATTGAAATTACTTGTTTCTTATGTATTTTTATGTGATGCTTCAGAATTTTTTTGTCTGACACGCCATATCCGGGGCGAAAATTGTCAAAATGGGGTTTTCGACCCTAAAATGGAAAATTACAGGGGGTACTTTATCATCACTCGATAAATCATTCTGTTAGTCTTCAATCATCATAATAACTTTATGGGGAGTTGATTGGATCATGCTGAGGTAGCATGTAAAATCCCAATGCTCTGTCACTCATGGTTGTCATGGAAACCACAATTTTCGTTCAAAATATCCTTAATTTTGCAAAACCTGAACATGTACATCATGTAGAATATGGATTATTTTTCGAATCAATACATATCAGCACATTTTAGCACACTCAAAATAACCAGTACAGTTCAAAATGGAAAATTACAGGGGGTACTTTATCATCACTCGATAAATCATTCTGTTAGTCTTCAATCATCATAATAACTTTATGGGGAGTTGATTGGATCATGCTGAGGTAGCATGTAAAATCCCAATGCTCTGTCACTCATGGTTGTCATGGAAACCACAATTTTCGTTCAAAATATCCTTAATTTTGCAAAACCTGAACATGTACATCATGTAGAATATGGATTATTTTTCGAATCAATACATATCAGCACATTTTAGCACACTCAAAATAACCAGTACAGTTCAAACATTTGTTTAAATATAAAGGATATTGCAATTTACATGATTTGTCAGTGTCAAAGAACAAACAATTACATGAGTGATCAAAAGTGGGCGTCGCCCCCCACAATAGTAGATGATTGCTATACTCTATAAAAACAGAGTTTAACTTGACTTTTGAGATACATTTACACTAGACTTATTTGATTATATTTTATATCAATCATTTCTGGTAAATAATGTACATCTAAGTGTCATAGTTATTGCATGGGGGGGGGGTACAGAGGGGGGCTAGTAAAAGAATTGGGAGGAGGCAGAGCTAATCAGCCTTAAGTATAAATCTCATCTACATATATCTGGATTTCATGGGGTACATCTTCTGCATGGGTCTTCTTCATATTCATCTCAGTATATGGGATATTACAACTTACATGATTGGTCAGTGTCAAAGAACATACAATTACACAAGTAATCAAAAGTGGGCGTCGCCCCCATACTAGAGTAGATGATTGCTATTCTCTATAAAAACAGAGTTAAACTTGGCTTGACTTACATTTACATTGGACTTCTTTGATTATACTTTATATTTTCTGGTAAATAATGTACAACTCAGTGCAATGGTTATTGCATGAGGAGGGGTGAGGTTAGTAACAGAATTGGGAGGGGGCAGAGTTAATCAGCTTTAGGAATAAATTCTTTCTTTTGGACTTCTTCATAGAGTATTTTCTGGGTCTTCTTAGTTATCTCAATATACTGTATATAGTTATTGTATGGGAGGGGGGTAGTAACAGAATTCGGAGGGGTGGGGGGAACAAGTCAGCATTAAGTATCAATTTCATCTTCAGAGTTCTGGATTTCATAAGATACATCTTCTGGAGTCTTTCTGATTCATCTCCTGGTGCTATATCAACAATCATTTGTCTGAGAATACCAGTCAATACCCAATGCAATGGTGGAGTCATTCAGTTTCCATCCATGTCCATCTTCTGCTGGAATGTCAGGGTTTACAATATGGGCCATATGCACGATAAGTGCTTTGTAGTAAGCTCTTGACAAGGTGGAAGAAGACTGATGTCGGTTCCTTCATAGTCTTTGATTGTTTTATGGGGTCTAAACTTCTATTTCAATTGGTTTATGTGGTTTTGCTGGTGTAAGACATTGTGGCTTAACATAAATGTTTTTTTATTATATTAATCAGTCTTCTTTTGTTTGTCAAGCACTACACTTTGCTGTATTCTGTGCTTATCCTAACACATTGATGCAAACAAGAAGCAACTATACCAGTTACACTTAATTGAATAAGACCAGAATATGCCAAGAAAAAATGGGAAATGCCATATCCTTTCTAGTGATCATCATGATAAACCATGAAATTTTATTTCTTCCCAGCCCTTCAGGTGAGACAGAAAGATGCTATGAGTATCAGAATGTCTAGTCATGGCAATACAATAACAACTATAGATGAGCCTTTTCATAGTCTGATCATTTTCATTCTTGTGATTTATCGCATGATATTGATATATCAACTATCTCTCAGGAGAAAATACTAAACACTTGCAGATTTGAGAGTCATTCAGCTGGGACTCAATATGGTGCTCCATCTTTTTAAAATGTGGTATCCTGCCCCTTCAAAGCCTGGCACTTACTTCATCTAGTGAAGGTATGAAGGCTGCATATATTATGCCAGGCCCTAGATGGGAGTAGTAACAGAATAATTGGGAGGGAGTAGAGCTCCCTCCTAGGTCTGAAACCACTTCCCCACTACCCTTTGCATTCGTTTGACTTCACTTCTTAAAAGAGAGCTTCGTCTTCACTCTTTCAAACTAAAATAAACCTGTGAACTCACCGCGCCAATCAGTGTTCGTCGGCCAAATTTGACCGACGTTCTATATATGGTCATTCCTTCTGACATCATCGTTGAGCCCGAAATTGACCAATGACATGCGCATATTTAATTAGAACGCATTTGGCGTATGTTTCTTCAAGCTCGCTGATAGGTGGAAGAAAGGGCAGCGCGTAGGTCAAAAGTGATTTATTACCCAAACTGTCACCGGTAAACGTCGTAGGGGCGGGGCTACTAAACTGTTATATGGTCTCTACTAGGCAGAGTGTAGTTTAACTAGACTCTGCACGCAGGGTACTTCCCCACCCTCACCTCATGTAAAAACTATACTACTAAACATATTTATGAGAAATGGTTTATATAAATTATATTTGAACATGACTGTATTCACGCCTACTATAAACTGTGAACAAAGTCAACATTTTACCCGGGGTATATATGTCAACACTACCCTTGGTAATACGAGTAATGTGTGACATCAAGAGGGCTGTAGCAATGGCAGACCATAAGATGAATATTTTAAAAATGTTGGGGAGTTTTCATGTTTGAATTGTAATATATACCTCAGAGCAGGTGTGATATTGACAATGACCCCTTAGGGCTAGGTACAGAAGCTTTCAAACCCCTCACTCCCTTGCATAGCCACGTGGAGTGTATTTGTCAATATAACACCTGCTCTTCAGTCTATATTTCTTAAATAATAGAAGTATAGATGACGTATAGATGACAGTGATCTTCCAAGCATTAAAGCAAGTGGGCGCAGTACCCACCTGAGATTTTGAAAATAGGTTTGCACCCACCTGAAAATCCATATGCACCCACTTGAAAGTTAGAAAAATCATGAAAAATTGGCATATTTTGACCAATTTTGGTCTAAATTGTGAAAATGAAAATTTTATACCCACCTAAAAAGAAATCCTGGGGAGATCACTGGATGATCTTAAAACTCAAGATGACCTCTGTTTGTAGAGAATGAACCATATACTGTTGTTGGGGAGATTCCCACTTTTGATCACTTATGTAATTGTTTGGTCTTTGACACTTACCTATCATGTTTATTGTAATATTCTATATATTGAGATGAATATGAAGAAGACCTAGAATATGTACATGTCCCTTAGTAAATCCAGAACGAAGTATTATGAGCCCCCTTCCAGTTTCTATTACTAGCCCCCACCCCCTCTCTCAACCTGCCTCTCATGCAATAACTATAAAACTCAGATGTCACTGGTCAGTATCGAGCGATGGTATATGCCATATAAGCCTGGTTTAGTTCAAATATCAAAGTATTACATCGACTATAAAGTAGCTTAAGTCAATGAAAACTATAAATATCTTCTCAACTGACACCAGTGAGATGTACATTATTTACCTGAAATGGTTGATATTAAGTATAATCAAAGAAGTATAAATGATAAATATATATATATCTTGAAAATTCTACTTAAACCCTGTATTAATAGAGAATGGAAATCATCTACTATTATGAAGGTGATGATGCCTACTTATGATCACTTATGTAATGGTATGGTCTTTGACACCAATCATGTAAAATGTAGTACCTATTATATATTGAAATGAAAATGAAGAAGACCCAGAAGATGTAACCTTTGAATATCCAGAACTATATAAATGAGAATTATACTAAGGCTGATTAGCTCTGCCCCCTCCAATTTCTGTTACTACCAACCCCCCCCCCCCTCCAACTTTTACACTTATATGTACATTATTTACCAGAAATGCATGATATTAAGTATATTCAAAGAACTTCAATATAAATGTATCTCAAAAGTCAAGTTAAACTCTGTCTTTTCAGAGAATGGTAATCATTTACTATTATGGGGGCGACGCCCACTTTTGATCACTTATGTAGTAGTATGGTCTTTGACACTTACCAGTTGTATAAACTGCAATATCCTTTATGCTTAAACAAATGCTTGAACTTCCCTGGCCATTTTGGGTGTGCTAAAATATTCTTATATCTGTTGATTTGAAAAATAATCCTCATTCTATATTATGTACCTGTACAGGTGTGGCCAAAATTAAGGATTTTTCAATGAAAATTGTGGTTTCCATGGCAACCATGAGTGACAGGTGATTGAACCTTAACATACTACCTCAGCATGATCCAATCAACTCCCCATAAAATTATTATGATGATTGAAGACCAACTGAAGGATTTATTCAATGATGATGAAGTACCCCTTGTAATTTTCCATTTTAGGGTCGAAAACGCCAATTTGACAACTTTCGCCCCGGATATGGCGCGTCAGACAAACATTTTCTGAAGTATCACATAAAAATACATAAGAAACAAGTAATTTCAATTTGTTCACAAACTAATACATTTTTGGGTGCTAGCTTACTACCTATGTAGTTGAATCCACAATTGTCTGGGTTTATCGGCGGAACAAAGAAATTTTCGTTTTTAATCACAATATTTGCGTGTAATATTTAACTTATTTCAACCGTCAAATTCCTCCATTTTTGGTGCTTCCGGGCAACTTCCGGGTCAGTCAAACGGGGAATCCCCTTTTAAATCCAACCGCCATCTTGGAAAGTGATGGAATATCTCTCGATGAAAAAGAACAATGTTCCCGTTCTGCCGATATACCCAGACAATTGTAGATTCAACTACACAAAGATAATGCTAAAATACCCAGGAATCAATTGAAGTAGGTATCTTAAGTGTAAGGGGCGTAGATAATTCTCCCAAGTTGTAATCGTACAGGCAAAAGAATGCTCTCAATGCAGGACTATAGTCCTGGCACGGGATAAGCTGTCTCTATACCTCAATATATCATTGATTTCTAACCAAATACATCAAAGTCAAAGGCTTTGTTTAAGTCATTATATGCATCAAATAGATTAGTATTGTCAGGTGTCATATCCATCCATGTCCATATTTTACCATAAAATTATTCAATTATTTACTTCTAGGTTGTAGTAATACTCAAAAGATTGTACATATAGTAATAAGATGGATAGTTGCTCTATAATTAGTGAGAATGATATTACATTTTCAAATAACAATGAGTTTGGTAAGCGTGTGAGTGATTCAATACATGAATGTAGTAAGCTCTTAGCGTCTGATGACGTTTCATTATTCCACAAAAATCAAAATTCAACTGACTTAAAATGTCTAATGTGGAACATTAATCGTTTATCAGATAAATTACATAATGGGTATGACATTAAAGAGCTTTTTAGCAAGTACTCAATTGTATTACTATGTGAAACCTGGTTAAACCCACTTGAAACATTTACTTTAGATGGTTTTACTGTACATAATCTTGCTCGACAGTCTAAAAATGCAAATTCTAATGGATTTTCAGGAGGTTTAGCTGTTCTTGTAAAAGATGAATTATTCAATACAAGTGTAGAATTGATTAAACAAACACATGACTTTTTTGTTTGGCTAAAGCTCAAGTCATCATTTTACAATTTAGCCAAAGATATTTATATTTGTTTTGTATATATGCCACATAAAGGTTCAAAATTTGAACATGTAGATAATATGGAAATTTTAGAAAAATCAATTGCATTATATCAGTTGTTAGGCAATACAATTATTGTTGGAGACCTGAATGCTCGAACAGCAGAATTATCTGACTGCAATACCCTGGTATGTGGATCTGATGAAAATTTGACACCATATAATCATATTGACCAAGATGCATCACATGGGGTTATTTCTAATAGGGTTTCAATGGATAAAAACCTTAAAGCTGTATATCAAACTCACGGTCGTGAACTTATCAGTTTATGTAAATCATCCAACTTAAGGATTTTGAATGGTAGATTTTTTCAAGACAAAGGTATTGGAAAATTCACTTATTATAGATATCAGGAACAAAATGACTTAGACAATAGCAAAGGGAAATCAGTATTAGATTATGTACTTTCACAACCTGAACTCTTTAATTTTTTCTCCGATTTTAAGATTCATGACAGGCATCCTGACTCAGACCATGCACCAATTCACTTTAGTCTTAATATTAAGCATTCAAAAAGCACTTCCCAATCAGATAAAAATGTTAAAACTAACATTTTGCCATATTCATATTTTAAATGGGATTTTAAAGCAAAATATAATTTTATTGAAATTCTTCATGACAATATTAGCACTGATATTTTAGATGATTTTTATTGTAAAATGGGACAAAACATTGATTCAAATAGCTTGTTGAATGTTCTTAAACGTGTTATTTATCATGCGTCTGAAAGCACTCTGCAGTTAAAGCAACTTAAAAAGTCTAAAAAGAAATTCCCAGTTAATCCCTGGTTCAATGATGAGTGCAAAAGATTAAAACAACAATTACGGAATGCAATTAAGGAAAATTATTCAGACTTAGAAATTTCAAT